TTTCTTTTTTTTTTTTTTTTTTTCCTTCCTCTTTTTATCTTTTCTTTTCATTCATTTTTATTTAAAGGAATAATCATTAGAAAGGTAACTAGTTGCAACTGAGTGATATTTGAAAAGCTTTCACATCACAATCTTTACTCGGAATGAAGATGGATATTGGTATTAGGTCGTGTGATGAGATGACGGATAATATATATATATATATATATATATATATATATATATATATATATATATATATATATATATATATATATATATATATATATATATAATATAAATATATATATAAATATATATATAAATATATATATATATATATATATATATATATATATATATATATATATATATATATATATATATAAATATGTATGTATGGATGTATGTATCTATATATAAACTGATTATATAATACATATACCAACCTTGATATACTGCCTTTGGTAGATAAAATATGTGAACAGAATGTAAATAGCCGGTAATAAACAAATAACAAAAGATTTCCCAAAATTGTAAGTGTTAAATATCAACGCATCCTCATATTCTAAAATAACTTTCCCTTGCTCTGCCAAGAGACCTTCCTGTTTTCATTAGAGAAAACACTGGGATACAAAAATTTCTTGAGAGTTATATACCCGAGCCACATGAATTGAAGCTGATGATATACGTAAGCCAATCTTGATATACTGCCTTCGGTAGATAAAGTATGTTGACAGGATTTAAAGAGATAGTAATAACAACTTTAAAGATTTTGCAAAATTGTAACACAACTTAATCTTTCTTTTTCTTTGCATATGCATATACAGAAATATATTTACATACACACACACATATATACATATATGTATATATGTACATATGTATAAACAAACATATATATACATACATACATACACACACACACACATATATATATACATGCATACTTCCTTTAGTATTTCTATATTTCAAATGATTCTTACTGGTACTAAAAGTAAATGAAATCTCAGTTTCACATTATATCTGACAAATAAAATGAATATATAGAACTTACAAATAATATAATGAATGATTAAGAATTCATGATGGGCCTCGTTTATCATAACAAATTTTTCCTTCTCTTTAAAAGCAATTCTTAAACCAAAAATGGATGAATGCAGACATGCAAATATGATGAGGTATAGCTTCAAATTTATACACATTTATTTCAGGGTCACAAACCTGTGACAAAATATCCAATACCTACTAATAACTTATTTTTTGAAACACTACAAAATTTTAGTTCTGGTTAGTTCTATTCCCACGTCACTCGCTCACTCCACTCACACATTCATGCATGCCCAGACACTGCAAGTAGAACAATGAAGGGAAGTACAGGAAAACACACAAATATGCCAAAGGCCTTTTTGCTCGCGACAACCTTGGCTAGTTTGTGGTTCCTTGTTGCATTGTTGAAGTTATTAGTTGAATGGATGAACACCGCTTCTACCATCTTCCTTTGTTGTGGGGGCAGGCCTTGTTTTATGATGGAGGCCTGGAACTACTTTCGGAGATGGCCATTGGTGTCAATGTGAACAACAGAAGCACACCTCATCATGTTGTCAGAGGGTGCTATAGTATTGGTCAATTCGTTGTTCATGGAGGCCAGGTACTGTCTCACTTATGTATACTTTATTGCAGCCACTGCAAGGTATGCTGTACACCTGGCTAAGAGGTCTGCTGTGGTCTGACTTTTTTTCCCTTCAATTCTTACTAGAAGTGGTAACTAGCCACATTGTGTGACCCAATAGGGCCTCCAGGTGATCTGTCAGTGCGAGTGTGGGATGGTAATTCTGTGTGCTATGTTCTGTGTAGCGTCCCCTCCTGATCTGGTCATGATCTTTTCTGCCTTGGGGCAGAAGTGGGTGAGAAAGGCGCGAGGGTAACAGAGGCGTTGGAACGTGTTACTAACATGTTGCACTTCCTCCTCCAGGAACTCCTAGCTGCAGATTCTAAGTGCTCGGAGGAAGAAACAAATGACCACACCATCTTTGGTTCTTTTGTTTTGGGCAGATAAATAGTGTTTAAAATCATCTTTATTTGTGGGTTTCCTGTACACAGAGAACACTGGACCATCAGGTCTCCTATGGATTAGGGTGTGGAGGAAAAGCTGTTCATTTTTCTCCTCTTCTGTGGTGAATTGTATGGAGGGGTGCATTGCATTTAGTCTATGGAGGAGGTCTTGAAGGATTGTCCAGATCGGCACTACAGCGAGGATGTCATCTATATAGAGAAGCCAGACTTCATTATTCCCCACGATGTTCCGGTAGTGATCAGCCTCGAGGGTTTCCAAAAACATCAGGGCAAGGACTGCTGAAAGAGATGAGCCCATTGCAAGTCCGTGAATTTGCCCGTATTCTCGTCCTCGGATTTCAACTGAGCCAAACTCTACACAGAGGCGGGTGAGTGCAACATAATCATCTCTCAGCAGTGGTAGTTCATCCTCGTCCATTCCTTTCAGCATTCTTTTTGCCGCTTT